CCCCCCCCCCCCCGGGAGCTAGACGTCATATTATGACAAGTACTCATTGCAAAATTAAACAAAATAAATCAAAAGGATGTAAAAAAAAAAACACAACAAATATTACTCTGATGACCTCAATTAAGCAACATCTAGCAACCATTTGTATGAGCTTATGCATTAATAGAGATTACATACTGGATTGTAACATGTCCACAAGATATCGCGTATGGTGACATTTACTAAAACTGAATATAATACCCTTTGAAAACATGTACAATTTCACGGTGCAACTGGGAAAGACGTGGTTTAGTGGCTCGCCTGACGCACGATACGGGGGAGGGGGGGCAATAATGGTGGGGGCAAAATGGTGGGGGGCAATATGGTGGGGGCAATATGGTGCATCAAACATTCAGAGGAGCTAGAAATACTTTGACATTTTTTTTTTCATCTATTACGTCACCAATGTCTACACATAAATTGAAACAGGTTTTGTGTGTGTGTCTGTGTATTTTAGGAGAAGTGTGACAACTCAAATCTGTACCTTTGCTTTATTTTTTAGGAAAAAGAAAATTTGGGGGGAGGGGGGAATTTTAACCAAAAATTTAATTTTGCAAATGGGCTTGGCAATTAAAGCAATATGTGATTTTTTTTGTGTGTACGTACTTTGTGAATCGACACTAAGATCCATGCCTGAATGAAAAAAATTATTTTGCAGTCAAATGGAAGAGTCGAGACATTTCGAGGAGCTAATTGGTTCGTGAGATTTTCTTGATGGTCTCCAATGTTCTGTACCAGCAGTTATGTTGGCAACTTTTTTCAGGGAGTCTTTTGTATAAAAAGACCAACGAGGCTCTATCCTTTACTGTTTTTCTAATGCAGCTGGGTAGGGGCAAAAAAAATATGAACAGAGAAACTTGGCATTTGAGATAAATCTCCAGAGGGGCGGCTAGTACTGATGGTAGGGGCACAACTGCTATTTGAAGTCTGTGCGTTATATGTGACCATGAAAAGAATTATTTTTGACATGTTTTTAAATGATTACAAATAATTAAATTAACATGCTCCGAAACACAGCAGATATGAAAATAGCTAGTAGGGCTTGACTGCAAACAAGATTTTTGTGATAGTTTCCCATGTGCTGCCTTTATTTGAACTCATCGAGGGGACACACAAAATGACCTGACAACTGTTTAAAACCTAAAACTGAAAGATTTATCAAAACTTGATTGCTAGCCAAAGATGACGTAAGACAAAGTTATAAATAAATGCTGAATGGGTTAAACGTGTATCCTTACCTTGTTGGTCACAGGATGAATGTCAGTGCTCAAAGACAGTGCGTCAAATGGATACAGTTGTAAATGTACTGATTTTTCACAAGCTCTACCAAATTTAAACCATATACCTACAATATGCAGGATATTTTGATATAACTTATTCAACAATTATTTTGACCTTATGTCTCTCGCTCTATATATGTTAAAAAAAAACTTGGGTTTCCTCATTTTCTTATTCTTGTTCTCACCCCCTCTGACGGATAAACAATGCTCAATGCCGCTTGGTTGTTGACCATGGCTAGGCAAGGGTCTACAGTATTTGGGTGGGTGAAGTCAATATTTTTACACAGGTTTTATTTAAATGAATATATTTTATGTCACCTTTTTTAAATGTCATTTTTCTTTTGCTAATTTTTATGTGAAGCCAGGTGAGCCTAGCCCTTGGCTTTGGTACTGCGCTATATAATACCACTTTAATAATAATAAAAAAATTAATAATTTGAAAATATATTGATTGGAGACTTGAGTAGCAGTGACATTGTTATATTGAGTCTCTTGTTTTCAAATGAATCAATATTTCTTATATGTTAAAGACATTTGATAACTATTAAAAACCGTTTAGAGACGATTCAATGGAGTTAAAAATGCACAGATCATTTACATAAATGTAACAACATTCTGAGGAGTACATATATTTTTATTTTCAACAAATTTTAATATGATAGATGACATTTAAAATGTAATTTGATGCATATTTAGTGAAAAATCCAAATTGTATTTTAATTCCATGAAACATTACAAAACATATTTATCATGTCATGTGGCTTATTTACCTTAAAATTATTTTAGAAATTTCATAATCAAAGTGAATCTAAAAAAAATAAATAATGGTAATGTTTATGATGACCTAAGTTTGAAACCTTAAATTAATGACTTTAGTACACACACAATTAATATGCCAATTAAGTCTCAGACCTTCACCAGAATGTGTGTTAGTTAGTGGAATGAAGTTCCTCTAAATTTTTGCTAAGAAATAAATGCACTTTTTTCAAGAAGTAGGAATTTTTGGTAAGCTTCCGACATTTGCTTTACCAGATTTAGACTCCTGGTACAGCGTATACCTTTGAATTATCAACATAAACTTATTGTTTTAAAAAAATATATATATCAATACTTTTATGTGTGTGTATCAATTTCATTAAAAAAATTAGGTACAATGATACTTTTAAATATTTAGCTCTCATTAATATCAGTAAAATTTGACACATCATTTGATGAAAGATTAAAGATGTTTTATACAAATTGGCCTTCATAATCAAACTCAAAATTATTGAGATGACGTAAAATTTCAAGTATCTTTGAACTCTATAAAAAAATATTTTTTTTACCAACGTTTAAAAACCCTAGAGCTACAATTTTACCTATCCAGTCCAAGGTTAGAGTTCATGCAACATTATACAAAATGTTTATTATTGCTTTTATTCACTAAAATTAATAATATGATTTTTAGAACAAAGTGCATAAAAATCAAACAATATTATAAAACAAAATAATATAAACAAAAATGAATAATTCAAGAAATGTATAATTTAATGTTATAAATTGAATCAAAATTTAAGCTTAATCCAATTTATAAGCAACATTTACAGGCAATTTTAATTTAAAAAATGATTTTAAATAGTAAAATTAAGACATTGATACATTTGACAAATTTATTACAGTTATTAAATGTTTCATTTTCTATCAATTTTCTTAACAAATGGTTGCAAAAACATACTAAATATAATTATAAAGTTTATTTTTCACAGTGCTGATTCTGCCTTACAAAATGTGTATTTTCTGAAATAGAACAAACATACACATGGTCACAATATATGTCCTTCAAAAGTGAGTTAGAAGGAAATACTTTAAATATTTTTGAAACTTAATTTTTAAAACATTACAAATTTATAACCTAATAATGTTTAACAATAATTAATAAAAGTTAAAATTTAAAAAAAGATACCAACTTAACAGTTCTGATCTCATATACACTCACTGAGAAGTGCATAACCTTTGAAACGTGCGTTAAATGTTCTTTGAGAGCTAGTTTATCACAGTGCCAATTTCCTCTCCCACATGCACAAACTAAAGGGCTTCTTATTAAATGATGGTTTACTACTATTTAAACTGTATTTTCCTTAAATTTAAAACCCAACAATCTTTATATTTCTTGTCATTGATTTCTTTACCCTAAAAAAATTTATAATGTTTTCTTTACTATAGTCATAAATTTCATTACACTTAATAACTTGAAATTTGTTTTTAATCAAAATAAATTGTGATCTATTTCCTGAAACATTTTAAAAAAAAACGAATTGAATTTATTAAGTTACATTTTTGGAATGATCTTTGTAAGCCTTAGGTAGTTCGTCTGTCATTGGTGGAGATATTTTTTGTCAGCGTAATTGGTGAAGAGATTATTTGTGTACCTGTTGCTTAGTAGTTTATGTTGGTGATGTTTTTGGATTTGAGATGCTCAACTTTAAATAACATGAAATTTTGAAGGCAAATTGGGAAAAACTAACACCATGGCATTGAATATCACATAACATTCTTGAGAGAATGAGTAACTAATCTGCACCCCAACAGTAGCAATGCTGCAACTACCAAAGAAGAAAGTACTGCCGTTTTTCACAGAAAAATAAATATTTACAAAAAGTACATCTTGAGAAGACTGTGTGACCCATTGTGATATGGGGATTCAGGGTGGACTACAGATCTAAAGAAAGATGTTAGTCAAGAAAATATGTCCCAATTTTAGTGCTATTCATACCATTTTGCCATTCTTGATGGAAACTTTAACCAGTTAATGATGCAGGAAAGCTAATTCACCAATTCATTATTGTACCTTATTGCAATACAAAAGCAAACCATTCGAATTTGTTTTGAAAAAAATAAGAATAATGAGAGCAGAATGCCATGATGTCCTTCACCTATTTAAAAAAACTACAGTTTGGACATTAACATATTGCCAAGCAAGAATGTTATATTGCAGTCAACTTTCATAGAGTGTTTAAGATATATAACTCAAAATTACCAAGATGCTATGAACATGGTCAGGATATATGACAAACCTGCCTTATTTATAACAATCACATGTAATATAAAATGGAATAAAATCAGGGACAAATTAAATCCCATTTAACAGTAGTGTGACCGGTTTTATTCAGTATCAAGAATGTTTGAGTAAAAATGTAAATTGTTACGTGAAGACTAAACATAGTTCCAAAGATTTGAACATGTTAGGGCTATGACCATCGTTATTAAACTCCAAAAACATTGACTACAACATGAGCACACATTGCTCTTCATGACCCCGGAAGACAAAGCCTGTGAGAATGAAAGAATTAACAAAATTTTATGTGTAGAACTCCCTTATAAAGATTCCCACCTGAGGCTGCATGAAATTATAAAATTCTGTTTGATACACGGACCATGTGGTGCATTAAATCCAAATGCTAAATGTAGATAAAACAGCAAAGGCACAAACGAATCCCCAAAAGATTTATGTGCTGAGACCAACAGTAATGTCAATAGTTAGACAGTATATCAACACCAAGTTGAACTATGAGAAAAAAAAGTGGATCGGTTATGCCATATACTCCATACCTATCTCTGAAACACAACAACTATAATAACCTAGAGATTTGTAGCTCAATTCAAAACATTATATACTTCTTTAAATGCGTTTACACGGGTTATGACAGTAGCATCATTCAAGTCATTTCTGATCCCAAAAAAACATGAAGCTACTATTAAATGGCACAGAGGAAAAAATTTACCCTGTGACCCATTATGTAAGTGCACCTGAAGCATGATGGGGCTCAGGTATTACACAATGCAACCACAAAACTGATCATGTGCAAAGATGAAATTTTCACCAAGCAAACAATATGTTTTGTCTGCTATATGGTTTCTAGATCAAGAGAAAGCTCCCACTTGACACTTTGGCCTATAGCTTCTAGATGGCAACTATGACGAGCCAATCCATTATGAAAATTATTACAATCCGATGTCCGAAAATAAACTTGTTCAAAGAAAAGTTTCAAATGCTCAACCTAGGGCAAAGAATGTCTTTCAACAAAATGATGGAAGCAGTTGAATAATACATTTTACTAAAAAGTCTGTTCTTTACTGATGCACCTGGTTAAAGTTAGTAGAACCTTTCTTTACTAACACAGTAATGCAAAATGTGGCTAGCAAAAATGAATCAGCCTTGCCCTTTGCATTCATTATCGACCTTTACTATAAGATGAAATCAGTTTCCATGAGCCTTTCTTTTGCTATTGCCATAAAAAATAGCCAAGGCCAAAAACTAAATTCAGTTGGTATTTATTTCCAATCTCCAGTAGTCAGTCAAGGAAAACTTTATCTTGCATTTTAAAGAAGAAAGTCCTTTCAGGAAGTTAAATTAAAAGTCTCAGGAACTGACCAACAATGCAATTAAAAGAAAGATTCCAGAGTTTGCACCAAAAATGGCTGTCTACAAAGAAAAGTTTTTACCAAATAATTAAACTTCATAGCTATTCATGGATTTATAACTAACTGCAAATGAAAATGCTTGCCCCTTGGGACTGTGTGCTTAAGCTAGTATTAATATGTATTTAATAAATAATTTTAAAAATCCTCGAATTTATGATTTGATTCTTTGTTCTAATATTTCTAAAAGATTTATTATTATTATTTTAATTTAATTTGATAAGAATAATATGTTCATTTCTAAAAATTGAATATGGCAGGCAGCCAATTTAAAAAAAAAATGTATTTATAAACTAAACTTTAAATGACTATTGGTTAGTTTATATTAAAAACAATTAAGAGGGCAGCACTGATGTGCTCTGTGGCATGACTACTTCACTAAAGACAGATTAAACATCAATTACAAGAACATAACTTGACAGTTTTTCTTTTTTTTTTCTTCTTTTTACATATAATTTTATTCACTTACCTCAGCGAGTAAGAAATCTATAAGTGGTGTAGAATTGGCCTTTAAATCCCTTACTGCTGTTGGATTCATCTGAGACAAAGACTACATAGAGGTTCCCAGATGTTGAACTTATAATACCAGGTATGACATTGCCACATAACTGACCCAGTGACGAAGCTCTTGGGCTGTTGCCATCGTAAAATTTAATATAATCGTAGGAACAGTTTGAACTTCTTTCAACGTCAAAGTCAGAGAAACTGAAATAGAGCATGGTTAAATAATGTTGGCCTGGAATACAATAATTAATATGTAACAGTTTTTGTTTCAATTCTATTTTGCTCAGTAATATTACATAATATTTAAAACAAAACTTTCATTAAATGTGTTGTGACATTGTGCCTAGATTCCAAAATAATTTTGTCCTAAATAGATAAGAAAATAATATTTTAAATTTTGCTGTATGATATTAACAATAATTAATATGTGGGAAAAACAACTCAAACAATGCATTTTGATTTTGAGTATGGCAACAAATATTTATGGAATAAAAGTAACATTTACCAATTTAATTTTGTATATGAAAATATATTAATAATCAAAGATTTTTTTTTTTAATAATATATACTTTAATATTTAACTTGTAATGTTCTGATCTGCATGTGAATGGAGGACAATAAATAAAAATATACAAATTCCCCAAAATCATAGTAAATTTGTTGGGGTTATAGATCATTCTATTTCATGCTAACAAGCATGTAAAAAAGATGATCTAGTTTCATACTAATAACTCTACGACTAAAAGCCATGGAATTATTAACTGCAATACCTGAAGGTGATGTAACTGTTGATTCCTCCTGTGATGTTCCAGTAGCATTTTGTATTGATCGGGTAATTCTTAGGGTATCCAGGGCTGACAATGTATCCAGAATTGGAATTCACTGTAGTATTACAAGCTGTGAAATAGAAGCATTTGATGTTTTGAGTGATTGGATCCTTTGGTTTTTCTTTTCAATATGTTATAGCAAATGTAGTGTATTAAGTGGGCTGCATTTTATAATACAGTAGAACCCGGTTATGTCGACGGCCTAGGGGTTTGCAAAAAAGCATCAAGATAGCCGATGATTGGATAAGTGAAAACCAATACGGCGGCAATATAATAACATGTGCTTGAAATTTCTTTGAGTACATGATGTGCGTTAATAAATGAGAATGTACAAGCATGGGATTTTGGAGGTTTTTTTTTACACAACAGCGTTGCCCCAATTTGTTTGATGAAGTGATCGGCATGATATAAAAATGTGTTACATGTTTGCTAGCAACAAAAGCCATATGTGCATCAACGAACAGCAGAGATTGACCATTATAGAATACAAATGACCGTCGAGTCTTCATACAAACCTTTATTATATTCTCCAACATTGCAAATACAAAATACAAAGATCGCTAAAAAAATCACTAAAAGACATGTGGGGTGTAGTTCATTTTTACAAAAAGCTAACCAGAGTCAGAATTAAATCTGAGTCAAAATTAAATTTGTGAGTCATTTCACTCTGGCATAGCTCTGAAAAGTATCGTACACATAGTTACTATAGTTTCTTTACAACCTGGACCACATACATTACTATAGCATAAATTAACACCCAATACAGGGACTCTTTCACTGCTGTATTTTGAGAAATAAATAATTATTTTTCATTATGCTAAACTTGTTTATTTTTTGTTTGCTATTTCTTCTCGCGGGATTCAAAAGCCAGCCATTGGTCATGGGGATCGAGACAACTGACGTTAAGTGGCAAATTTGGCCCCTTTTTGTGCTCGAGGTATTCTGGTTTGGTGACATAAAGGCATCGAAAAAAAACGATCAGAAAATGCTAAGACAAAGAGAGAATTTGGAGGTTCCGCTTCAAAAACGTCAAATAGGGTTGGTGAGTTAACCATGGTCGAGATAAGTAGGTTCGACTGTTTTAAGACTGGACAAACATAACAGAGAAGGCTTTGTGTCCAAGCCCTCACAATATATTTACTTTTGCTTTTTTAATAAACAATTTCAAATTGAAACATTTGAAAGAGAGAATGAAAACCTCAAAATCTGCAATAAATATTTATATGTCTCCCACTGCTGTCATTATTAATATAATTTATAACGAGTGTATAAATAACCCTGCTATTGTTACATATACAAATAATTACCATTAATTTCAAGACATCTGGATCCATTTACTGAATCAAGCCTCATCCATTCTGGACATTCACACTGTTCAACCCTTGGGTTGGTAGACATTACTTGACATGTATGGGAGCAGTTCTTTATTTGGCATTGTGCTGGAGAGGATAAAGGCATTTTAGATCTTTCACAGGACAATAAAATTACATTGGATAATTGTAGATATTGATATTTAGTACATAGTTTCTTTTTTTTCTTTTTTTTTTTAGAATTTTTTTTTTTTGTTCCAACAGTGTTCTAAACCTTTCAATGGTATTGTTTTTATATTCTTTATTTGGTATTGTGCTGGAGAGGATAAAGTCATTTTAGATCTTTCACAGTACAATAAAATTACATTGTATAATTGTAGATATTGATATTTAGTATATAGTTTTTTTTTTTTTTTTTTTTTTTTAGAATTTTTTTTTTTTGTTCCAACAGTGTTCTAAACCTTTCAATGGTATTGTTTTTATTAAATTATTTTCAGTGATTATAGAATGAAATAAAAAGATAACTAAAAAAAATATATAATTGATGGTTCATTTTCTTTAATTGAATTGAAATTTTAACTAAACATAAGACAACAAATATACTATTTTAATTGATTGTTGATTGAGATAAAAGAGATTTCAAGTTATCAACCTTATGTTTGATACAAGATTTATTTGCTATTATCATTGAACATGTGTTGGCATTTTCCTTCAGCAGGAGGCTTAATAATTATGAGAACATAATATGTTAATTAGCCAATAAAACAATATTTGTGTTTGCCATTCTCCCAATAAGTAAGGAATTGTAATCTATCAAAAATCTTGCAGATAAAGAATGTTCAAGTTTATTGGAGAGAATTATGAATAATTCATTAATTATGAAAGGTTAAGTAAAAAAATTCAGAAAAAAAAAAAAAATTACATGAGACACAGAGTAAGGAAAAATCATTGTTTGATAATTTACTCAATTTTTTTTAACTTTAATGCATAAATCAGATTAAAATGCAACTATTAAGGTTGTTCACACTTTTTTTTTTAAACTTTAAATTAGCTCTAGATGATTAATTTAGATTAGTAAATAAAGAAATAGTAATAACAATTTTAAAAAAAGAACCTGTAAACCATTCAAATTTCTAAAAGTGAAATGCATTGTTTTCAAATTGTAATTCCCCATAATATGTATTGCTCTTTTCTTTCAAGTATTAATTAATATTCCTAAAATAAAAAAAAACACAAGAATATTATAACACAAACAACATCAATGGAAATAAGCTCATAGATGGGTCTAGCTTGCTTCATCATAATCTTTCACTCACACCAATCGAATGTATTTTTTCTCCATGCACAAAACCTTATCTGATGGCAAAACAATAATGAAATTTAAACTAAAAAGGTCTATTAAATTTCTCTTTCACTGTGAATACTTACTTTCAATGGAGTATGATGCGTTGAATCCTATTCGTGTCGTTGAATCATCAGAAATAAAAACCACATGCATGGATCCTCCTGTAGAAGTCACCATCCGAGGACCGGAGTCACACAGACGACTGATGCGCCTGGCACTTGTACTGTTACCATCGTATATCTCAAGGTAGTCTAATGGACAGCCTTCCACCTCATATTCTGAGATGCTGATTTTAATTTAGATTGATAAAACTATTAAAAATATTATCTTTTATTTCTTTAGTTATTTATGACAAATTTAATAGTTTGGTATTGTTAAATTTGAAATAGTATTTAAATAAAAGAAATAAAACTTTCCACACCAAACATGATGATTTTACATTAGAAATACAGCATAAGTCAACAGTAACAGTACTGAAAAGAAAATACACACACTATTGCCTTTTATCATCTGCAAATGTATTACTTACCAAAGAAACTAACAGACAAATTAATTTACAATGGTGGTATAATGTACATGTCTATAGTGGCCACTGCCTTGCTGTAGACAGTATTTGTATCACTCATGTATAATTTCAAACATATGACTAAACAATGTTTGCTGCAGACTCTTAGAAAGGAGATTCTTTTCTGGTACAATGCAGGCACAGTTCTTTGTGAATCGTCCCAATTTAATCTAGATACTCTAATTTAACTTTCCACCCAAGTAGCCATCAGCTGGCATAAAATCAGTGGATTTTGATGGGTATGGGTACAATGTGTAAAGTATCATCCAGGAAAGTTTTTATGCAGCATACCCATATGGTTGGTCACCACAACCTGTTGATACCAGTTGTCTTTTTTTATGTGACATTTACTTGCATGACAGAACCTTCACAAACCCTTCAGAAATTGTTCAATCCCAAAGCCCCAATAAGATTTTTTGAGTGATGGTAAAAGTATTGACTTCCTTATCCTCATTGAAACAAGGGTCTACAATACCATGTGCTGAAATGGCACACCATATTGTCCCTTGTCCCTAGTTTTATTGACATTAATACCTGGCTGCTTAAAACTACTGTACTGTCTGGCAATTGATGTAGCCATCTGAATGAATGAGACATTTGCCTAAGAACCATGCATTTCTAAAGAAAATATGTGTCCATTTACACATGGCCAAAAATACTCCATAGTACAACATTCTGGCTTACATATATGGTACTGTAAAGTAATGTACAACCTTAGAGATTGAGCTATGCACCATTAACTAATGAACTTACATCTTTAAGATGCAACAGTTTCAGTACTGTTAATTTTGGCACATACTGTATTTACCTAAACAACTTAGTAAACACATCAAAATACCTTAATGAAATATATTTACTAATGTACCGTATTTATTTGCGTATAACATGCCCCCGCGTATAACACGCACCTCAATTTAAGAAGAAAATTTCAGGGAAAAAAACTAAACATTATATCGGCGTAAAACACGCACACATGATTTGCCCCTATTTTCGGGGAGAAAAAGTGCGTGTTATACGCCAATAAATACGGTAATTTTATGCCAACATTTTCTAAATACTTTTTAGAACCACATACTGATACTGCTTACTTAAGAACAATAATAGCATTGGGTTCATGGCTAACAATAGTCCAAGTACAGTAAGTATTACTGTCATAATTCTGGGGATAGTTTGAGGATATGAAATTTCCCCTAGTTGTTGTCAAAGTTCTGTTGCAGTCTGAAAATAATTAATAAAATTTGAATAAATTTAACAATGGGAAAAATTTTCTTAAACAAGATCATTTTCAAATTTTGAACAAAAACTTAAATTATAAGTTGATTCATAAATTAAAAAGAAAAAATCTCACCTTACCTTTACACATTCCATTTACACCAGGCAATTGGCCATTCTCGCAAACACAATCATAACCAGCCACTTTATCCTTACATTGCAGGTGAGCGGGGCAGGTGTTGTTGACACAATCATTGATGTTCACAGAACAATTGTTTGATGTCCAGCCAGTTTTACAAATGCACTGACCAGTTATCTCATTACAAGACTCAGTGTTATTTGAAACACAATTGCAGCGTGAACAGTTTGAGCACGCCATACCTTAAAAGGAACAATGGAAAAAGAGGAATGCAAAAACTCAGAACTTCATTTGCTCCTTTCTTAAAATAATTATTTCTTTTAGGTTAAGCAGGAATAATTAATAATGATTTATAAAATTTTTTGACAATTGAAAACTAACTAGCACTGAAAAATATTTAAAGAAGTGTTGGATGCATTGAAATCAGATTATATATAATTTAAAAGATAAAAACAAAATGAGTACAAGAAATCTCACCAATGCATGATTTTTTGTCAACAGCACTGAGAATAAACCCATCCTGACATTTACACTGATAGGAACCTTCTGTGTTGACACATATTTGGCTACATACACTTGAGTTTTTACACTCATTAATATCTACAAATGAAAAAAAACCGACTCAATAGCAAAGTTATAATATTAAAATTTCTATTTACAATTTTTATTCTATTTTCTTAGAGTATTTACATTTTTAAAGTCTAAAGATTGATTGAAGTGATAATTTAATGTTCGTAAAAAAAATTCTAACTAAGAAATCCTTATAAATATAACTTACCAATACACTTTTTGGCTATCTCAACATAACCAGAGGGACAGGGTCCACATGTGTAGCCTACTGTCTTGTTTCCTTGTTCCAGTGCTGTTAAATCGGTGCAGTTCTGTCCCTTAGAACAGGGTTGTGACTCACAAGCATTAAGTTCTAATTCACAGTTGTCTCCTATTACATGCACAAGAACAAAACATCTTTTTTTTAAATGGTAGAACAATAATTGAGATAAATTATTCACAACATGACTTAAAATATCAAAGAAGCTACTTAAATATGGTATAATGAATAACTCAATCTACTAATTCAATTGGAGACTACAATATAAAGATAAAGTTCTTAAATATTGGTTTAACAATATTACATTTGAGACCCTATTAATGGTAGCCTATATAATTTGCTTTGAAAGACAAATAAAAATTATACCTGTGTAAGCAGGGTAGCAAAGACATTTCAATATCTTAAACTGTCCTTCCAAGTATTCTATTTGTCGAAATTCTGTTGAGTTGTACAAACCATGTCCACTACACAATGGGCGCACAGTAATAGGGATATTTAGTGCAGGTGACAATGCATTTTTAGTATCTTTTACTTGGATGCTAGATGAAGGGAATAATATTAACAATTTATTTTTATTGTGGAACACAAATAAAACTTTGAGAAAAAATATGACTTCAGAATTCAGCAAGTTGTTTTTAAACAATACTACTTTTTTTGGCTTGGAAATTTCTTTTGTCTTTTAGTGTAACATTGGTCAAATTTAAAATAATATTTGTGGAAATTTTATTGCACTTAAATCTTTAGAGAAATAATTGAAATTTTTAAAAAATGAATACTGTCCACAATATAAAAAAAATAATAATTAAAATTATGGCATCTTAAAATGTTTAAAAAGATTTGCTTATGAATATATGTAAGAATACTTTAACTAGGTTTGAAAATAAGAAAAAATAATTATACCAGTACCTTATAATGACAGGATATGTGATATTTGGAAGATAAACAATGGTTCCATTTGGATATAGTGTTATTCCTCTTGTATTGTTGAAGCCAACATATGTTACATTGTCTCCATCTAGATCTGAGGCCAGCAGTTGTAACTTGTTTGGTTGATTCTCAAGCACAAACCATCTGTTGTTGGTTATGTTTTCTTTGTTTACAATCTCTAAAGATGGTGGTGTATTGGCTGCAGAGGGAAAAAAAATATTAAAATAACAGTATGAAACACTATGGTTGTATAACAATTTATTTCTATTTTCTATGTATTTGTAATTATAATATAAGCCTATAAATGAATACATCTTTCTCACACTGAAATTGAGCAGAACTTAAAACTATTGCTTAAAATACATTTTAAAAATAACTATATTAGCACTTCCAAATAAAATAAACTTTTGTTGTCTAATCTTAATTTTAAAAAATCAGGTATTTAAAGTATCTCAAAAGCATCTTTTTTTAAATATTTGATAAAGTATTTCACAATTAATATGGCATTGTTTAAACCAAGAACACATTGATACAAAAATAATTATGTACTTATTAATTTTGAGAATAACAAATTATAGGATTTATCAACGTCATATATATTTTACCTAGATTAGCTCTCACAATTTCAACAATTTCCTTAGAGACCTTTGTATTAAGAGCCATATTCTGATCTCCAGTTGTAATGTAATCATAAATACAAGCGTCCTTTCCTATGCCACAAAAAGATGTCGCCTCAGTGAATTTTGTTATATTAAAATTTTCTTTGAATGCTGGAAGATATTCTGGATGCTGATAGTCGGCTGTACTTTTCCCAGGTTCATAGAGAAAAACTGAGTTTAATGAATTCACTTTATCTGGCAAAAAAATAATAGGTAGAAAATTTCAAAATTTAGCCGAAATATCAAAAGATAATATTAATAGGTGAAACCCAAAGCCTACACTCATTCATACATTCATACTTAGTATTAAATTCTTTTTAGTGGTCATTTATATTATTTTAAAAAATAAAATAAAACAATAGTTACAAGCAGATGCAAACTGTTCCAAAATTTCTCTTTCTGTAAGGTTTCTTGATAAAATAGTTCCATTTGGAAGCTGAAAATCATCATCAGGATTTCCATTGAAATTTCCAAACAAGCCTTTGGTTAATGTTTTCAAGGACTTGTCCACTTCCAGGTCAATTTCTAAACTCTTTATACCCAGTCCAATGATAATAGACACGCCTAATAACATACATAATAGATTAATAAATTTAAAAGCACAAAATATATATTTGAAATTTTAGAAATAATTATTTATTTACCTTAAAATAAAACAATCAAAAGCATCATGTAATAATATAAAATATTCTTATCATAATCATAGTCAGTCTCATTTTACAAAGTTTTAAATCTACTGCCTCAAATTTACAAATAATTTAAATCCCATATAAAAAAACATTATTAATGTATTTTACAAACAATATTTTCATGTAGTTAAAATCCAGTTATGATTTTATTGATATGGTATTAATATGTTATTTAATTATATATAATTTTAGAGATCAAATTTTTTTATCTATACAAAATGGGGCCCTTTAAAACTGATGATTTGCATTTATTAATAAAATATACAAAAGGTCAAATTTTTTTTTACATTTACCTAACTTTGACCAATAGCACAATACCTGTGGAAATATTACTATTATAAATGTTTTTTCTTGGCGCTCCCTATATAAAATTAAATTCTTGAGTGAGAAATTAGTTGTGAGAAACATAATGTATATTGAATTAAATCAACACTAAAAAAATATACTTACCACATGAAAAAATGGCTACTACTTGTGTCTTATTCATCAAATCTTCCCTTCTGATTTCAATATTGTCAGTGTAAAGACTGAAGTTTGTAGAGCTATAAAAACTACTAGTGACATCAGAATCATTGGCCATGATAATCATTACTGTGTAATTTAAACAAATTTTGTTTAAACAAAAAAAAGTTTAATAATTCATATTACAAACAGATGACTATAATAAATTTGTATGTATGAATGGTAGGGTTTATATATTTTGGGCTATGCCCACTGCAGAATTGTATGGTAAACAAAAAATCTTTTTTAAAAATATTGTTAATTTAAAAGAAGATTAAATGATAAAATTTAATATAAAAATGTTTAGAGAGCTGGAAAAGTAACTTTAAATTTTTTTAAATACCAACATAGTTGTATTTAAAATAAAAACATATTATTAATCACAGATAGAATAAGTTTGTAAACATGCAGTGAAAGTAGGTTTTTATCTGAGTGAACTTTTGCTGGGGTATAAAAGGGGACTGAGAAGGCAAGGCAGATAACTTTCAACATTATGAGAGAGAATTTTGGATATTTTAGCAGGGAAAATCAGTAGCTAGTGATCTTCAAGTTATTAGAATAAAGGAATTGAAGTGGCAGAAACTTAATGTCTGTTCTGAGAGAAAACATGTGATAACTCCATAGAAACCAAGCCCCCCCCCCTCCCAAAATAGAGCTGTTTTTTAAATTCTACAGAACTATGACAACTTGACAGCAGGTTAGGTATGGTTATAACAATTGTTACCAGTTTTGTTTGTTGACAATTTCACTTGGAAACTTGAGTCGCTGCCTTCTTTGGCAGCAAATGCTGAGAACACAGTTGCATTGCTTAAAGTACCATAACTTGTTTCAGCTCTGTCTGTTCTGGCCTTTATGCGAATACAAATAAATTGTGACCATGATAAAAAAAAAATGTAAACATAAAATATATTTACTTTAGTCATTTATAATCTACACCAAATATATTGTTTATTGAGGAGCTTTTCAAGTCATTTCTTTCTTTGTGTGCCAAAAGTCATAGTGATAATACTCGTCACATAATTGAAAAGTCAGAACTCTACTGCATATGAGTAATATGCAGCATCCTTCATGCAGTGAGAACCTTCTTTTATTGGGATGTCTGTCCAAACAAACAACATATACATCCTAATACCTTCTTGGTATAATTCAGTGAATTAGTCTATTTTTTTAAATTTTAATTTTGTATCCGTTTCTAAAATTATTATCACATGCCATTGTTGATACAATAATTTTATTTTTATTATCCACCCAATTAGAAATGTTAGAGAGGAGTTTTCATTATTTTTGTATCAGAATTTATGCATATATTATACATAAGAAGTAGGCCTATACTAAAAGTAAACTTACTTGTATTAATTTAGAGATTTAAGACTTGTGCAGTTTTATTTTCATTTTCAAATTTAAAAGGATCAACATATTAAACACAATTTTTTCTCACAATATGACCTTCATTTTTCACGGCATAATTATATTTCTGAAATAGCCTATGCAAATATACAACATCAGATAAGAAAAACTTTGCAACAGCATAACAAATAACAAAGTTTTGACTCAAAATGTAATGGAAGCCTATGAAATGAAAAACAAAAGTCTTTTTATTTTTCTGTACATGACCTGTAGGAATTTCAAATTGCCAAAAAATAATTATTTTTTTTTCCAATATTGATAAAATGTATTTGAATTATTCAAAATTCCATTTATTGTAAGGTAAAATTAGGTAATTGTAACTTGCATATGTTTATTTGTTTTTATGCTTTTGATGCAAATGTTTTTTTTTCAAACTGGTTAATAATTTGTTGTTTTTTTATCAATTATGAATTATTGCTCTGTCATGCTTTAATATTTGTTATTCCTGTACAGCTAATGCAATTTTGCCATAGCCCATTCCATCCTCGAATTTTGATATGCAACCCATTATAATAGCATAACAACTATTAAAGTTTTGGAATGTTGTCTGTGGTCACCTAGAATAAAATTTTATCACTTCAAAATGACTGTCAAAAATGTGGATTTCACCTATGGACATTAAAAGTTAACAATTATATATTGCTGTTGTATATTTTACTAATAGATGCAAATCATCATTTATAAAGGCCCCATTTGGTATAGATAACAAAGATGATCTCTAAAATTATACTATGTACAATTAAAAAATGTATTTAATTAAATCAAAACTGGATTATAACTACATGACAATTTTGTATGTAAAATCCATGTGTAATATTTGTTACATGGCATTTAACATTCAGGGTGATTTTCATAATTTAAAATAAAATCTTTTTGTGTCAACTTTTAGTCATAATGTATTTCTTTATTTAATACTGAGCTTGAAAACATAGAGAGCAAAACTTTCTTTCTGGGCAATACATTGAGAACACGTTACTGGCTAACATTTTTTTTTTTCCTTTACAGTTGGAACTTTGTTTTATTTTTATTTGAATAGCCAAAAGCCAATGCAGTGCTGAAGAGTGAGCATCCTTCTCTTTGTTTCAGTTTAAATTTTACCATGCATCTATGATTTACTATGTGAAAAGTAAAAACCTACAATAAGCCATTATAAAGTGAAAAAGAGCAAACATACCTGTAGTGTAAAATTAATGGAGGGAACATCCATAAGAATGTACTCGCCCCAACCATTCATTGAAAATGAGCAATTATCAAGAGTGGTGAAGTGGGGATCTCCTAAGGCAGCACCTGTTGTATAAAATATAATCTTACATTAAATGTTTAAGCACATATAATGTTTTGATTGAAAGTAAGATTTGTAAAACAAATGTGTGTATTTTATTGCACAACATTGGGTATGAATGTCTTTTTATCCCAAATATTTTGGCATATTTCAATAATGTATGCAAAATAGTTTTTTTCAAAGTTCTTCTGTAAGGAAATATTATTTTGCAATATAAGATAATAACACAGACGCATGTTGCTATTTATGAGAATCTTTTAATTTTAATTGTTGAAACACCTCTTGTAGAATTTTTTTGTTGTGATTAATTCTTAAACATCTCACAAAATTTAGTTCTTTTTGAGAATTTTTTTTTCTTCAAATTAGCAAGACCAAAGAATATCAATCATTTAATGAGCTTTTCCAGTAATATTGCTTTAATCAATAAAAATGTTTATTTCAACAATATTTTAAGGGTGACAATATCCTCATCAGCTTTTGAGTTTCTCTTCAAATAATGAAACTTTTCAGGGAACGTGTTTATTAAATAATTGTGAACCAAAATTACCTGTAATAAAAGGCACCAAATTACTACAGGCTGTATCTGGAAATACATTGTAGAAGCTGGCACAAAGCTGTTCTGTAGACTGTTTACAGCACAAGTTGTGTGCCTGAATATTCTCATTAGCTGCCTGCTGGTTTGTTGATAATCCCGTATTCCACCAAGCCTGCCATGGATCACTGATCAAAACATGTCCAGCATCTGGACTATTGTGAATGAAAGTTGCCCAACGCAGTGATTCCAGATATTGTGCCCATGACGCGTAATAGGAGATAACACCTCTATAGCAGCAAATCTATACAAAGAATAGAAGAAATGAGTAAGTATTACTCTGTAATAAAATAATTAATTAAAAAATTAGCATTATGCATACCTTAAAAATAACTTCCAAGTATGTGCGACAATTAAAAAGAATAATTTAGCCCATATATTAAACACAAAAATGTGTAAATTCATCAAAGAAACAAAACACAAGCACTTTAAGCAAATAAACCTAACTTTAATTATTTTTTTTTTAACACAAGCCAAATAATACTAATCTCTTCTTTTTTTATTTGGAGGGGGTGGGTGTAGATAATTGTTATTCATGGTCTTTCAACCAAGTGAGTGCTTCTTTCACCCTTTTCTGTGGTCTCAAAAGTGGAATGTCAATTTGAAAATTAAATCTTGTAATCGCTGTCTCAAGTAAAGCCCCTTAGTTTAATCTATAAAATAAAGACCAAAAAAAACTATCATTATACCCTGTTCCTTAGATTGTTTTTTAACAGTCGCTGCTTTGCTATACTTTTGATAATATAGCAAGTGATATCTCCAGACACACTGAATATCTCCCATTGTCGTCCAAGTCTATCAAGAGTACATGGACATTTATAAAGCTCATCCATATCAGAGATGTATTTAGGATTAGCCAAAAGGGCAGACTGTTGGCAGACATATCTCTGACATTTCTTGGCAGATGCTGTAAGTCTTCCTACTTCATATGCCCAAGCACCTTTTAAGCCTATTTATGGTTTATAGAAAATATAATTATTTAAGTGTTAACCTTTATTAAACTTTATAATGTGCTTCTTATTGGCTTCAATATTTTAAATATACATTTATTTTTGTGGTTTCAATATTAAGATTACCAATCATCACCAGAGTTATAAAATAACTGTAAATTATAAACAAGGTGATTTGAATTCTTCATAACTACCAGTATTATCTCCCATCTCATCAGAAAGTTGATAAACAAAATCATCAGCTTTTGATCCAATATCCATGATATTTATCCCTGCTCTGACAAAACCAGCTTGAACACGCCTGCCGGGTACACTAACCCATCTGAGGGACTGATCTGATGGACTCTGATAAATGAATATTACATATGCTGTCTCCTCATCTGAAAAAAAAAAATAGCAGATTGTAAAAAATGTATTGAAAAAGATATTTTAAAAATAAAGTCATTTTTATTTTAAGGACATCATCAGTACAATATCATAGTAAGTTGATGTGGTTGATAGTTCTTAAAAAAAAAACACAAAAATAAAAAATTCCTGATTATATCAAACTTTAAAACATAACTGTTGCATGCTCAACTACCCTAAATGCATAATTTTTAGACTGTCAACAAATAAAATGTGTCTATTAATATAACCTGCAAGAGCCAACAAATATATGATGTTATTGATGTACTAATGTTGAGTTCTTATAAATGGTAATGCCAACACATTTTCAATGCCCTATTATACACAAATGTATTTACATTTGGATGCTATAAAATTCAAAGGGCCTAAGAATATAACTATATGTTTACATGGAATCAAAAAGTCCTCCTATGTAATTAAATCCTGACTATGAGTTGTTATTCATGATGTTGGATGAGCATCGCATGTACTCCCAGAATCGCAATGTGGTTTTCGCACTGGTAAATCAACCATAGACATGATCTTCTCTCTGCACCAGCTGCAGGAGAAGTGCAGGGAGCAACATATGCCTTTATACATTGCGTTTGTCGACCTCACTAAGGCTTTTGATCTTGTCAGCAGAAGCGGCCTGTTTCAGATCCTCAAAAACATAGGCTGCCCTACACCACTGCTTAACATCATCAAGCAGTTCCACGAAAACATGCAGGGCACAGTGTGCTATAACGGTGCCGCTCAGAAGCTATTCCAGTGAGTAGAGGAGTAAAGCAAGGTTGCGTGCTGGCTACTACTTTATTTGCAATCTTTTTCTCCATCCTACTCCAGTATGCCTTTCAGAGCAACAGCGAGGGGATATACATCCATACTAGAGCTGATGGCAAATTAATCAACATTGCCCGCCTTAGAGCTAAGACTAAAACAAGAAAGGTCTTGCTGCGGGAGTTCTTGTTTGCGGACTAAGCCGCTTTGGCATATCACACAAACGCCAAACTCACGCCAAAGGTCAAACGCCAAACTCACGCCAAAGGCCCCAACACGGATGTTCTGTCCCAAACAAACATGTGTAGCGTCCCAGCCATGTTAATCCAAAGACACCTCCGCAGGCTTGGACACTTCAAGCGAATGCAACCTGGTCGCATACCAAAGGACGTGCTATACAGCTAGCTGGCGACAGGAAAACGGTCAGTTGGACGGCCTCATCTGAGATACTTAGACATATGCAAAAGAGACATGAAGTCGGCCAACATCGACATCTCAAACTGGGAGGAGCTGGCAGAGGATCGATCCTCATGGCGGGGCATAGTGAAGGCAGGATCACTACATGCCAAGGATCAAAACAGGGCGGAAACAGCTGCAAAAAGAGCGAGGAGGAAGGCCGGTAAATACTGCTCCACCGAATTCGTGTGTGGGAAATGTAACAGAGACTGCCATTCGAGGATTGGTCTCATCAGCCACACCAAGAGCTGCAAGCAATAAAGATAATCTATCTCAGAAGGAAAGATGCCATACATACATACAGATATAGGATGAGAGGTCAACCTTGCAGTATTAAATCAAACTAAAATTTAACAAAAATACATGCCTGAAAATTGGATTTGGTTTCCATTTCCAAGTTTTTTGTTGCCACTGATGTACACAGTTTGGAAAGAAATAGACTCGGTATCCTAAAGAAATTTTTTTTTAAAATCTGCAATTACTATAATTATAACAAAATATTGACTCATAGATTTGCAAAGTTGCATTACTATCTTGTCATAAAATCAAATAAAATACCAATGAATCCATTGGCTATTGTATTAAATGAAAAAAAAAAAAGATGTTGATGCTTTGTTGACATTTTCAGATTTGTTTCTGGTCCATCCATAAGGCTGGATATAATCAAATCATTTGAAAAAGAAAACTAGAAATTTAAAAATTATATTTTTATTATAAAACTTGTAAGATTGTGGTAGTAAAACAATTGAAAAGTAAAGGTGACATATAGAAAAGATAAATAATGAGCCTAATAAAAGTAAGAATTTAATATTTCTATTATATTTAAATATATGGTCTAATTTATTTTCTTAAATATATTAGAGAGCAATGAAATTTTAGCTGATTTATGCAGTAAATTGCAGTTTTTCAGGATCTACTTGGTCATAATACTTTAAAACACAGTTTCTCATTCAGGTTGGTTTAGCGGGGTGAGATTTGCTTTAAAAAAAATATAATTTTTTACTTGTTTTAAAAAATAATAACTTGATTATAGAAATGTGACTTGATACTTACTTTTAAAGTGTAATTTTAGTTCACGGGGTTGATGTAAATATGATGTGTACACAAGAATAGCTAGATTTTGTATGACTAAACTCCCCTTAGTCCTACATTATATGTAAGATAATAATGTGTGACTACTTAAAGTTATCAGTTCTAATCATTTTCAAACCAAGGTTAACAAATTAGTGCCCTCTGGTTGATTTAGCTGATCCCATTCTGACATTATGATTGGCTAAGACAATTTTGAAAAGCTAATATTCATATGGCAGGGCAGGATGTACCTTTATGAAACTGTCATGGACTTGGACCTCTGGGTTATGTACTACATGGCATCAAAAAGTTCTCAACTCCATTGCATATAATGTTTAAATTTGGGAAATTGCTATGTGTGCTTTTGGGATAAGTTTAATAATTTATTTCTTGGCAACCCTTGGGTATTATTTTATAAATTATATCTTTTTGGAAAGGGGATTTTATTATGTTTACAATATTATATTTGGAAGTCCACATGTTTGAGGGCATTAAAATAGCTAGTAATAAACGAGTTTTTGCATTCATCTTTTTAAAATATCTATTTAACTATTTAACTTGTACAAATTTAAAAGTGTATCTTCGATAGCCGAGATATGGCGCGTACAGATGCATATAGGTCTTTAGGGTCTTGGTTGGAGATTTTAACTTTTATTCAAGTTCGAGTCACCAGTAATTGATAAATTCCCACAGGAAATCTACCAGAAGTGAAGTATGGCCCACTCTGTCCGATATGTGATGTAGATGATCCCTCATTTGTCAGAGCAGCCCAATTTATAATTGCTGTGTTAATGAGTTATTGGCATTCAAAGTTTTAATCGCATCCTTAAAGAGAGGCATTGTTCACCAGCACTATTTTGGCCGTTTAGTATTTTCCTTTTTTTTTTTTTTTTTGGACATTTCTTTTAGATTTCTCTTTTTCATTGTTTATAGAACCAAATAAAGATATAGTTCTCAAAACTTGATTTTGTTGAGTGTGTACTTTAAAACTGTTTGCTGTCCTATCACCACCACATGGCTACATATAGTTAGTTATAAGCATGTTTTAGAACTAGGGATAAAAGTCACTGAGAAAGCAAGAGAATCTTATTTTATTCAAAGTGTCCAGCTTTTGTAAAGTGAACACTCCTTCTTTTGTCTGCCTTGTATATATTGCATAATTTTAGTTTTTTTGGTAGCATTTAAAATAAAATTGTATAAATTATTTCATATCCTTTACAAACCTGCTCACTGGCTGGGTGGACATCAATCCATGTTGCTACCAAAGCTGTGTTTACATTAAAGTCCAACAGCTGGAAATATTCTTTTACATCTTTAGCAGCTCTCTCGAATACTTGACTTTTCATTGGTGAGTTATCATTAGTGTCACATTTTTCATACCAATGATAATACAAAGTACCTTTATTCGTATTTATTTTTGCCCAGAATGGAGCTATCATGTTTTTGTTACTGGCAGATGCAGAAATTAGGTTTGGTTCCTGTGAAACAGCGGGGCTCTCAAAGCTGATGATGCCATTGCTTAGTATCTGAAATCAGGTGGCACCAAAATCAAAGCATAAAAACATATATAATCTGTATTTTAAAAATATAGGGGGAGTCGGGGCACAATGGATCAGAAATCTTATTTTTTTTTAATGTTCAAAAAGTTTTCACAGATATTTTAATGTTGTATGTGCAAAATGATTGTATTACATCATGGACTTGGATAGGAATCCTTAAAATGTGGTTAAATATAATATACTTGCTGACAGAGCAATTTTCAAACGGTAAAAAAACTAAATTTGAAATATGGATCATTTTTATTTCAGTTATTGTTACTGATAACTGCATTATTATTTGGAGCTACAATAAACAGCGATAAATACCAGAATAATATAATTAACAATGTACAGGTCTTTTTAAACTATCAGTTGTGCAATCAAATTTTTCAACCTTGCTGTTGTAGAAACATTTCAAATTGGAGGAATGATAAGCTGACACATCATCTCTTTATGCGCATGCTTCTATATAGCGATATTTGTCATGATAAGGTCCTTAAGACATTACAATATTTTCAAGATAGCTGTTTATTTACATATTATATCAGGTTAAATATTTTATAACAAGCGTGTATCTTGTTCTTTATTCCTTTTGAGAGAAAATTAGCCTTTCTTTCAATTGACCCTTTCTCTTAATATGTTTTAACATCCTTATTTAAAAATGGAAAGATATATTTACAATGGTATAAATTTGTAGACTTGTTTTAAACGCTAGATGGCATGTTTAAAAATTAAATTTAATATTTTAAAATTAATATTGCTTTTGCTTAAATATTTATCAATTTTTTTATTAAATGTTGTAATAGTAAAGTGTTGGCCCTAATTTAAAAAAAATATCCATTAATGAAACTAATCTGATCTTATTTTATATATATTTTGCTTTATTTGTTAAAATGGTGTTAATTATTTTAAACAGAATCATAGTATTTTTTATTTGTCACCCCCTTTCCTCTCAAACAAGCATATATCATGTATAATTCTAAATACATCAATATTTTTTAAAGTTAGGAACTTGAAAATTAATCGTATCATATATGTAAAAGTAAGCTTTATTCATTCAATTTTCAAATCATTTAGGTGTCATTATTTTTGACATAGAAGGGTATCATTTACTTACATAAGCTTCTTTTTGCAGTCTATTCCCAAATGGGACACCAGCTACACCTAAAAAAACTTTGCTATAATAAGCTCCATTTGATAAAACTTTGTCCTCTCTTGTCTGAATAGAATCTCTTGCATTGGGCCCATTGGGGTAAAAGGGCACTAAAAATAAAATGTTGTCCATTTATGTTTTACATTTATATATTTTTTTAAATATTCAAAATTTAAAACTGCTCAATTTGTGCAAAGGATTGTATTAATTGTTTCGACATTATACAAATTTCCAAATTTTATTTAATAATGTCGTTAAATAGCAGAATTAGAAAGTAAAAACAAGAGACTTTCAAAAAATTATTTTACTTGTTAGTGTTCAAATTTAAAATAGCTAATAAAAACTAATACATCTCACCAATACAGGTGAATCTATCTCCACTAAGAATCATATTATCTGGACATGTGCATTCTTTCTTTCCTGCTGTATTGATGAAACAAGAGTGGGAGCAAAGTCCGAAACCGGCACAGTTAGAGCTGGCTAAAATAATAAGTGTAAAAAGAACAAAATACTAAGCTTTAATGCAGTATTTTCCATTTAAAAGTAATTTAGAACATAACTAGTTCAGATAATTATATTACATTTATTATTTTTTAAAATTCCTTTCACTGACAAAATTCCCAGCACTAATTAACTCAAATTACAACCATCATAACTGATATTATTGAGGCGATTTTTTTTCACCCTAAGTAAGAGACTTAATCTGACTCTTGTGTCCTTTAGTCCCTAACCACATAAGTGTTATTGTGTTTCAACATAGTCTTTCACCAATTTAAGTATTTTCTATCTAAATTAATATTTAATTATTTTAGCGACAATTTATTTTTAAGAATATCACCAAATAATTACAATTCAGATGAATACCTATTTAATTATTCACTTTAAAATCAAATATTTTAATGCTTCCTTATGGCTAAATTTAATCATTTAGCTTATACTATACTTTCCTAAGATATAAACACTGCTGATTAAAAATAGAATATGTAAAATATTGATTCTCCATTTTAAAATTGCATTTATAAGAAATAATATTAGCAAACGCCTTGATTTCTCAAATTCAATCACTACCTGTGACTAACCTTCACATTTTCCAAGCCAATTAAAAATAAAGCCTGGCCGACAAATACATGTGTAGTTTCCCGGTGTATTTTGACAAATTGAATTTAAGGGACATTTTGATGAAACACCTGGAGATAAGCATTCATTAACATCTTCAGAACAATTAGCTCCTGTCCAGCCAGGCTTGCATACACACAGGCCATTAGTATTATCACAGAAAATTGTATTAGTCTGTACACAAGTGCAGGCAGCTGAACAAGTCAATCCAAATTTGAAAGATGGACAACCTGCAGAGAAAAAAAATATTAACATTGGTGTAATTAAATGATATCATTTGGTAAATAAGTTAAAAGCAGATGGAATTTAAATTACTTGGATAAATTTAAACTACTGTAAAGGCATATAAAAATTACTGAAAAACATTCATAAAAGTTTTAAAAAGTAGCTTAATAAAATGTATAAAAAATTTAAATATATATATTAAAAACTCACTGTGTGTTGTATAGGATGCAAGAAAACCTTTCTTAGTCACTGAGAGGTCACTTTTAAAAGTAACTCTCATTGTATTGCTAGTTGATCTCAGAAGACCAGAAACTCTAGAGCCACAGTATTTTCCAATAACACGACTTGTAGAAGACAACCCATCATAAACTGTCACATCATCATAAGCACAAGTTGAGGTTGTCTCTAAATCAAAAGTTAGGAAGCTAAGAGAGAGAGAGAGGGGAGGTGTTAGGGATAGAATATGCTACATATTAAATTTTTTGGAAAGATAACATCTTTTTAATTCTAACATCATTATTTTAAAACACATTTACATACTATAATAACTTGCTTATTAGCTAAGATTATAACAGCAATGATATATAATAATGTAATTTCCATATGATATTTTAGCTAATGCTAAAAAATAAAGAAAAGTGGGGCCAAGAGACTGAGCTTTCGTGCAGTTCATAACTGATACTCAAAAGATTTTCTCTGACTTGTCAAAAGTAATGGTTAATAGAGGGTCTATCAATGTTATAGCTTTTAATAAATCTTATAAGTAAATATGGCACTGCTTAGAACTAATATATCCTTTACAAAGTGAGTCAAAACATAAGCTAACTCCCCTCATTTGGAATACTTTTCATCAACAAAGCCAAAGCTAACAAACCATCATACACAACTAACATGAACATAGAAAACTATGTGAATATTGTATATAGTTAGGACAGTTTTAAAAAAAATATGATTATTACACTCTTAAGAATAATTATAACACTGTTACAGCTAAATTTAAGTTACAATAAGATACAATATTTTTATTGATACAAATTAATGGAATATTTTTTTTCATTCATTGTAAATTTTTTTTCTTCCATTCTTGAAAATCCTTGCTTGAGTTTTTATTGTTTCTTAACATTAATCTGAAGCATGGCTTTCATTAAATAATAGTGTTTATGAATAACTGCTGAGTTCCTGAGTTTCAGTAGTAGTTTTGAAAAAGAGTATTTGCTCTTTATTTAACAGAGTTCTCATTTTTTTATACCAAGATCATGGACACTCCGTATGTCTATAGTCAATTCATCTTTTGATGGTTTTCATATGCCAGAGAAGATAATCTGATGCTCTTGAAACATATCAATTTATTGCTCACAAAGTACTTGCCTCAAAGAAACTACAGTATTATCAGGTCCTGTGATAGTCCAGGTACATGATCCGTAATCCAAATAATTACGTGGATACTGTGGACTTGTGATGTATCCAGATTGAGCATTTAAATTAGCAGTGCAGGCTAAATTGAAAACAATTTTTGTGTTTTATATTTTTTAGTCTTTGCTATAATGATACTTCATGCATTGAAATGTAACAAAAGTAAACACATACAAGAATATGAAACAATACTTTAAAAACAAACACAACACTTTTCAAAAATGTAATAAGGATTAAAAAATAAATGTCCTCAAAACGTGAGTGTTGTTAAAATCAAATGACTAAAAAAGTGTGGGTTGCCCATAAAATACAATGATGTCGCATGGCTTGATGCTTACAATTTGTGACACATTAATTGTATGTTTGCATTGTGGCAAGTAAGTGTTATGTAACACAATTGAGGTTTTGGGGGACATGTAATTAATTTTTTTTTTTTACATTTTTGGAAACACTTTTTTAAAAATTATTTTTGTTTCTTCTTTTATTTTGGAGAATTGAAGATGCCCCAGTTTGAGCTGTTCTTGATGCAAATGAACCAAAGAAAAAATATATGGTAATGTCACATATCACACATACTGATTGCAACATTAAAATAAGCAACCACACCTTTGAGAGAACGGCTTTTTTCTAATATCTAGGTGCTACTATAAATGAGTACAAAGAAATAATTTCAGAGGTGACACAAAAGATAACAGAAGGCAACCATTCACTGGTGACCTACTGATCATAAAAAGTTGTAGTGTCATTGGGGGTGGGTAAGAGTTAAAAGTTTCAGCTCATTTGGACATCATTTAGTGAGTTAACATTGAATTATGAGATTTGACCAAGAAAAAACAACAATCTAAGTAAAAGTTTGTAAAAAAAGAGAAAAACAAGCATTTTTAACTGAAATATTAAAAAATGCAATAATTTTTGAAATTATGATTTTATGCTTTATTTATTCTGTATTAATGCAATTGTATCAATTTTAGCAATTTTATCAAAATTGATTATTGAACATTTCAAAAGTCAAAACTTAAGAAATAAAATATAATTACCAAATCATTCATGAAAGTTAATAATTACACTTACACGAAACAGGGCTCAGGCAACTGAAGCTTAAGTTTTGACTATGGCAAACAGCATTGCTTGAACATGGATTTGACATACACGGATCATATCTCTGAGAGCAGTCAGTTCCTGTCCAACCATTATTACAAACACACTGTCCTGTCAAACTGTTGCAGTAATTTGTATTGCTTCTAATACATGTACAAGCAGATTGGCATCCATGGCCAAAAAACCAGGGAAAACATTCTGTTTGGATGACATGTTTTAAATTAAATACAGAAATACAGACATAAAACCATAGCAAAAAGAATAGACGTTAAAAGTCAAATCAAAGAGAAAATTTTTAAAATTTTTTGTAAAAAGATTTCCTTCCTTTAATTTATTAGTTTAGTTTACAAAATGTAAACTAATTGAGAGATAAAAAAAAAAAGGCTAAATGTATGTTTTTTGTTTTTTTTATCTGCTTTAATTAAAAATAATTTTTATTTCATTATTATAATTTTTTTTTGCACTGTTAATTTAAATTATGTATGAAAAAATTTAATTTGTTGATAAACTAGCTGCTCTAGTATAATTAAAGCAAAATTTTGAAATTTAGTTTTAAATGTAGCAGTATATTTATTAATATAACAAATTGATAAAGCATCTTAAATTTTATAAAATTTTGTTTTAGATATAACATTGCAACGAAAAGAAAAAAAATAGTTGCAAATGATTAACCATTCACATTTTTTCTTTATAATAAATTTCCAGGTTATCTTGAGTGAAAACAAACACACAAAAAAATGAAAAAGGGATTTCAAATTGTAGGAAGTAATATTTAAAAAAAAAATTAATTATAATTTTTTAACTAAATAATAATATTTACTAAAAAGAAAATGTAAAGGAAAGTTTTTCACTGTCAATGATTTTAGTTAATTCCATTACAAAAAGATAAAATTATAAATGCATTTTGAATGACTATACAGTCATATTAGCTGCTTATAATATAGTCGAGTTAACTTTTATTTGTCTTACGAGTAGAAATGTAATCAGCAGTGAAGCCTCTACTTGTAACAGAGAAATCTGTTCTGAAAACAATGTACATGACATTTCCAGTTGATCTCACTGTGATTGGCATGATCCCTTGACAGTAATGTCCTATCCTGGGTGAGTTGGTGTTTGCTCCATCATACACATCAACATAATCATAAATGCAGCTTGGATTAGTCTCCAAACTCAAGTCTGATATCCTAATGACAAGGATTTTTTTTTTTTTTAATTTAATATTAGTTAAATTATGTCTCTGACTGCTTCTATTACAGAGCTTATATATATTTAAAAACATTAAAATTGCTAGCTAAATGTAATATTTCATAATTGGAATGTTGACTAATCCCAATAAATTTGATGATGTTATACCTGAATGAGACAATTTGGTTTGCACTCCCAATAATTGTCCAGTAGCACAATGTATTGTCTAGATAATTTCGTGGGTATCCTGGGCTTGTTATAGTTCCTGACGTAGAATAGAATGTTCCCCCACATGCTAAAGCTGTAAGGCAAAAAATAAAGCAGCAACCTAAGTATACATTTTTTTAAAAAAAGGCCTCCTTAATATTTAATTTATTACAACGGATACTGTTAATAAGTCACTTAAAGAAATACGTTGCATATGATTTCTATGATGACATCAAATATCATAGTAATTTTTGAAAATCTGTTTTATCTGAGATTCTTAAACAGTGATTGATAAGTGGAACATGTTTAATGTAACAATTATCAAAAATACCATTAATTAATAATAAACAAAAAGGGAAGATAAATGTTAATAGTTATCAAATAGTGTCCTTATTGTTAACAAATTTAGTTTTAAATATAGGACATTGCCTTAAATTATTATTTTAAAAAGTATTTAGCAGTAGTCCACAAAATTACATCAATTTAAAATAACTATAACTTACAATGAAAATAGAAAATGCCTTTTTAAAAAAAAATCTTATTTGGCCATATGATAGAGAATATAAAATTTTTAGATGCACAACTTTACAACCATTGAATGTTGCTGTATAAATTTCAACCATGTACATCTTTAAGACACAAACTTTAGTTAGATGTTCAGCCACTTTCACCTGTGGTGCACCAGTCAATTTTAGCAAGGTTTGACCATAATGAGCACACCAGCCTGCTAGATCAGCAGTCTTGGTTTTTCTTTGAAGATAAATAGTTAAACACCATAATGTTCAATCATGCCATAGATGTTGCAACTTTTTTTGGATTTGTTGAACACATTCCAAGCATGATGGAAGCAATTTAAAAGCTGCTGTGTTTAAAATTCATGTACTTTGTTCAAGCTCCATTATTCTCAAAGACAATTTCACTAGACATTGTTTTTACATGGAGTCTTGATGGTGAGAATTTTATGTTTCATGAAATGACGGTAAATAATTGATTGGCATAGTGAGTACAAGACCTTCTCAAAAACCATGTTTTGGATGACAATGGATGGAATTAGTCTGCAAGTGTACATGGGGGGAAAACTCTGTCTAAGAGGGAACTACTCAAGATAATGTTGTATTTGTTACAGTCCCATTAAAAAATAAAATATGGTGACCTTAGCATTTCATATATATTGTTTTCTGCATTATTTATTTCCGGCAGATGAGCTCATGTAGGGCTGATAGATTACTGAATCAAAAGACACAACACTCGTGTACTAATTTCCTTAGTTTCACAAATGTTTTTAACACTGACTGTTTTATTTAGATTGTATTTTTGTATTTTTTTTTTATGATGCTGGGTGCATTAGAAAGTAATATAATAACTGAAAAAGTATAATATATATATAGATTTTTAAATTATTTTTGTTCAGAGCTGAATTTGATTACTGCTACTTTTTTAAAATCAAGAAATATAAAAAGGTAAAAAAATAAAGGAGGCTTACAAACACTCCCCAATATAAAAAACACATAATAATAAATTCTGAAAAATGCTATTTTCCCTTGAAAAAAAAAAATTATAAAAACAATATACTGAAAAGGTCAGAGCTTTCTATGTTTATGTAGTAATCACACATTAATATTATGTTAAAAAGATATTTATCCATTTATATATATATATTTATATATTTACTTGTTGAGGTGTAGCTTGCTTTGAAACCAGGCCTTACAACTGAAGAATCAGTTTTAAAAGCAATATACATGTTTCCTGATGTCCTTAAGGTTGGAGGTAGTGTGTTACCACAATATTTTCCAAGCAAAGGAGAAGCGTTGTTATTCCCATTGTACACTTCCAAAGCATCATAGTTACATGTTGCTTGACTTTCAAGGTCAAAATTTTGAAAACTGTAAATATTTTAACACTTTTATATTTAAATTGAATGAATGGGTGAAGTTAATATTTTAAATAATTTATCAGCTCCATGATCCAACACTGACAAGTGACTAATTATAAATAACTTAAGGATTATTGTAAAATAAAATAAAAAACATAGTTAATGTAGTTAAATAATGGTAAGTTTTGCTATTAAACATTTTAAAAGCTTACATTTTGTCTATATCATTGTTTAAATTATTACTATCAAACTCAATGCAAAATTGCCATTAAAAGCTTTTATCTTTTCTCTTGATAAAAATTTTAAATAAAAATATTATATCATTTTTTTCAGTTAATTTGATTGACTTTTTATTGTTTATATTTTTATTTTAACTAAAATTACCTCATTGTAATGCCAGTACCAACTATCAACCAACACAGAAATGTGTTGTCTTGATAGACATTTGGAAAAGAGGGACTTGTTAATATTCCCGAGGCTAGAGTCAATGTCGTGCAAGCTTTGGCTATAAAAAAAGTAGAGTGGGTTATGGTAACAACTTTTACATATTTAAATATTGTTCCTAGCAAAAATTGTTTTAGATATTGTTGATTACAGTACCATGTTAGCAAGCCAACTAAAAATGATGCCACAATATGTTTGATCACTTTTTTATCAAAACCCTCCACCCCCAAATCATAAAAAATGTGTCACAAAATTTAGGCAACTTCATAATACATCATCACAAATTATTGACCACATTCCCCCAAAAATCTGAGTCATTATTTGATTTATATAAATATTATTATGCAATTTAGTCTACTATATTTTTGTGTGTTGAAATTCAGAATAATTTATGCTTTAATATTCTCACAACATTTGCTCTATTTGCTCTAAGGTAACAAACCAAGAAAATCTGAGGGTGTTTTTGCTAATTTTCATAGTTATCACTTGTCGTCTAGAATTTACTAGAATCAACCTAGGCCTTGGCCTACCAGCAATGGGATTTACAGAAATGAAATATTGGGGAACTCCTATTTTACTTCAATTTTACCTTTAAATTACTTTATTACATTGGTTTTAGTTAAATTTATTTTTTATTACAGTAAAACCTCTGTTTTGGGACCCTCTCTTAAACAAGTTTCTCCAACACACAAAAAATCACAAATACTTTGTACTATATAAACGACTCTTTAAATCGACTTCCTCTAAAACTTGACTTGCGAACTTCAAATGATTCAATTTTACAATCTAGTACCTGAAATAGTCAGATTCCAAAGCAATGCTGCATTTGTGCTCTTGAAGAAAACAGTTTTGTTTACATCTTTAACAACAGACGATGCACTAAAGCAGATAGGAGGTAATGAAGGGGAAATAACTCTTGCACAATAAATTGTAATGAGATAGTACCACCTATCAACTTCTCCACTGCCTTGATATACTCCAAGGAGTTGACCAGATTTTCCCTGAGCAGGGGCCTTTCAGTCGTTGCCGACACCATGTCTTGTGTTCAAAGTGACATACTAAAAGAACATGCACGGTGGAGGGGGGATCATGCAAACAAACAGAAATAACAACTTTCTTTTTTTTAAACAACTTTTCAATGACTGAATAAAAATAATTACAGCAATATTAATGCGCTTATCTTATAAATAAATAGTGATAACTCTAAGCATGCACTCAGCACTTACACATGCTTTTAAACATTTACCATACCAACATTGATTTTTTTATTTTGAAATTAATCCGATACAGAAAGATAATGACTGTATTGGTTGTGAGACAGAGTTTAATCTATAGTTCTGAAAGAAAGATGGTAGATATTGCCTATACATAATGGTAGGTGTACGTTTTTGTAATTATTTTACTTGTTTACTTAATTTTCTAAATGTCCTTTTCTGAAAATTCCTACATTTTTTAAGACCCCCCCTCCAATTTAAGACCTCATTTTAATGGCAATTTAAAGGTTGTAAAACAGAGGTTTTACTGTGTTTGGTGTAAAGGTTTTAGGCAAATCTATTGCTTTAAATTGATTCTCTGAAAATTTTCAGTGATTAAAAATTTGATGGGTCATTTAATTATTATATTAATTTATAGGTGTAATTTTTAAGTAAAATCGTATTGTAACCATTAAATAAATAAATTAATTATAAAATAACCATACTTTTATAAAAAGTTGAAACTTATCCAAAAAAATGGTTGCTAGGACTATGTTGTGACGACATAAATATGGACCATTAAAATTTAGTCCTTTTAATTCAAAAAGACGTTTCCCTGAAATGTATATCAATTTAAAAGCTAATTATATAATTATTGTGTGCTTCTTTAACTTTAATACTATTAATTAAAGAGTATATTTTTCTCCAACCCTGGGTATTAAATGTTGCATTGAATCCTATTCCTTCACCAAAGCTGCTTGATTTGAAGAGAACACGTAAAGAGTTTGAGGTTGTTTGTAATGACCGTGGCGTCGTTCCTCCACAAAATCGACCAAGTGACAATCCTGCGGTACCAGCGCTCAGCTCATCAAAAACTTCAACATAGTCACTAGCACAGTTGTAGCTATTTTGTAACTGGAAATCTGTGAACCTAAAAAATATAGCAGCTTCACACTTTTTACAGGATTGCAACAATCAATTGATTAAATTTAAGAACAGAGCAATTAAAATTAAGTAAAATAAAAGTGGTGTATCTGTATATCTTTTCACCTCCCTTGCGGTGATGAAAATACTTAAATGTCTACTAAGAAGTCCATGCTCATCATGGTTTGTGTTAAAAAGCATTTAAATGGTTATCCGCCCGATTTTTTTTAATGCTAAAACCATAACAGCATCAGACAATAAAATTTTTAGTTTTTTTAAAATCCAAAAGCATCTTTTTTCATGAAGTAGTTGACATTCAGAACACGGCAAATTCATTTTATGAAAATCATGCAACCTATATTATAATAAGCAAAAATAACTACCAGTCAGCCAACGTCTCGTTTTTTATCTACAAAAATAAATGTTCAGGTTATATTTGAAAATATAATTTTTAATATAATTTTAAATGCAGTTTACATACATACCTGAATGCAATTATTTGACCAACATTTCCAACAATCCGCCAACTGCAGTTTATATTTTTAGAATAACCATTGGGGTAGCCTGGACTTGAAAGGTAACCATTTAGACCAATTGTGGGACTAATTATTGATCCACAAGCTTCAACAGATAATGTGAATGTTTTTGTTTTAATTTTTAAAACATTTCTTAATATAGCCAGCCTTTTAGGCTTAAAAAATTGAAAGAAACATTTTAAAAAAATTAACTTAGATTAGCTATTTAGAAAAGTAAAAAAAAAAACGTTTATAGGATACTGTTTACCTATTCCAATAATCAATGATAATATAACTGTCTTTACAATTTAATCTAATATGATACTCATGTTTCAAATATCAAGATTTAAAATTTAAAAAAAAAAAATTTAAAAACTATAATTTGTGAAATTTACACGCACAGTGCTCTTGGTAATTACTTGGCCTATGAAATGTCATGTATTTTTATGTTACCTTTACCCATCCTTACCGTAGCGCTCTAAACAGGAAACTCCCTTGTTGGTTATAACAGGGTTCAACCAATCTGGGCAGTAGCATTGCTCAGTCCAAGGGTTGGTTTCCGTTACACGGCAATTGTATGTACAGCTTTCATTTTTACACCTAGCTGATATATAAATTAAAGTGATGGCTTAAAATGAGTCATGCAAAATTTTAGGCAATATTTATTTTAAAATGAAGGGGTGGCAGGGTCGTAACTTGACATAAGAAAAAAACACTTAGCAAACATCCAGAATCACACATACATATTTTATTTAATTATAATTTATAAAAAATGACGCCCCTGTGTGGTTGTCCCCATAACATGCCATTCCTCCCAAATATCTATAGCACGCCCCTGGCTGATTGAACTTTCAGTACCTAATAAAATAAATAATGATTACGTCCCAACAATAACCATGAGCAGTGTGTTGGAATGTTTGGATCATATTTCGTATCTTTTAAGCTTTACTGTACCTTGCCTTACATTCTTTAAAGTTACTTGACAATTTAAGAATTGTAAAACCGTTTTTAGTGTATGTTCAGAGCTTTGTTTATTTGCTCGCATTTTGCATGTTATGACCTTTGCACGGGCTTTGTGGCTTGGTTGTGCTAAACAAGATTTCCAGTTAAATATTTGGGTTTGTTTATTGCCTTCCGGTTCCGGGTACCACGTATTGTCTAGGATGAAAGCAAGTGTGATCATATGCTTTATTTTTTATTTGGCATTTGAGTTCGAAAATTTGGTACGATGATGGGACATACATTTTTATATCAGATATCAACATTTGAATTAACAACTGCATTAAAATTTGACACCAGTCAGTAAAGTTTAACATTTCTATGTACTTTATAAAACAGGGCTAATTTAAGTTTAAAATATTGAACATCCGTTAGAAATGCTGAGATAGAGCTTTGTGGTTATCTACAAGATGTAACCTGGTATTAGCCCAATTATGATGGAATGCAAGCAGCTTTAGAATTTATTGATGTCTTCATTTTTATTTTTCTCGTGTTTTTTAATAAACTGTCCCCTTCCCAATCTTAGTCCGATGATGAGATAAAATTAACTTCATTAAAACAAGACACCCCATTGACCTTGCCCTTAAACCGTTGCACGCGAAATGATAAAAGTTGTATTTTTTCGTGTTTTTTTCTCTACACTTCTGTGACAAAAACGCGTTTTGGGTTTTAAAATGTAACTGTCTTTTTTTAATGCCATTGAAATGTGTTTTTAAAAAATATATTTTTATTATAATTCCTTATTTTTTCTTAAAAGAATTTCTAACACAAATTTTTCATGTCTGTAACATCATCAGGATAGGGTACTTTCAATTTTTTTGTAAAACAGAGAAGATTGCCTGTGGTTGCAACCTACTCTTCCTATTTTGGATGGTTCCAAAATCATGTTTGTTGTTTCTGAACTGGATTCCAATAAGTTAAGTAGGGTCAATTAAAACATTTCAATCCACGTTATCCAATCCATGCTTACTTAGCCAAATCATAACAACCACAAATTATAAGAAAGCGGAAATGATATTCACCAAACTATTATGCTATTTTCTCTCCGAAAATAAATATTTTTTGTCCTTCGTAATTTTACCTCATAGATTGTTTTTCCGACGAAATGTGCCTACCTTTTCAGTTGCTTATGGTCTTATATTTGAAAACTGCACCAGAATAGATGCATCTATTATACAATTTTGGTAATAAAAATGGAAATAAATGTGAATCCCCCCCACTCCCTTATTTTTTTTCCTTAAACCCTGGGGGATATAAATATGCTTATCAAATATAGCATCGTATTTAAAGAAAAAGGTGCCCTCTAGGTTTCCACACATCTTTTTATATTATATTAATGAAAGAACATCGAAAATTTATATTTTACAAATTTGTAAAAAGTGAAACTGTCAAAATATCTTAACAGTAGACATCACAGCCATGTTACATGGTGCCGTATTTATTTGATTTCCCTCGGAATTGTTTTTCCCCTTTTATTCAAACTCGGTTCTCATTTAAGACCTTTGAATAAACGCGGAAATAATGGTCAACTACGGATATTGTTATTAATCCACAGAGAGACCAATTTCAAACAAACGGCCAAATATTCTTCCTTTTAAATACTTTGAATACGTGGCAGTTGGAGCTATGAATATTTGACAAATGCATATTAGTGTTTAAGATGTAATAGTTTAATACAGCATAAGTATTAAACTATTACATCTTAAACACTAATATGCATTTGTCAAATATTCATAGCTCCAACTGCCACGTATTCTTCCTTTTAAATACTTTGAATACGTGGCAGTTGGAGCTATGAATATTTGACAAATGCATATTAGTGTTTAAGATGTAATAGTTTAATACTTATGCTGTATTAATTAAGCCCCACCTATATTTTAAGCCTATTTTTCTTACAAAAATTGCTTAAATCCACGAATGCATTCAAAACTTTCTTTATGTCATTGATCACATCAACACAGTATTTTCTGATACCTATTGAGCAATCTCTTGAAGTCCATCCTAGTTTGCACATACAATTTCCCGTCGTAGAGTCACATCCCAGCGAATTTTCCTTGACACAGTTACAAGACTGATTACATTCCTCAGCACCGTAACTGTAAGCTGTGCACACTGTGGGGTCAGAACAGATACACACATTCAATTAGTCATGTATGAGAAGCTTCATGAAATGGTGCAATAAGAAAGAGGGTTATTTAAACTTTCAAATTCAAAATAATCAATGGGAACAACGTATTGGCACTACAAAGAGGAAGCTAAATCTATTGTTTATTTAGAGCTCAATTCTCCCAAGACAAAAATGTAAGAAATGACACAATCGTCAAAGCGAGTCTAACGATATACAATTATATTCTATGTAAAATATACACATAATTAAAACATAATTATTTGATATTTAATTGCTCAGTCCTGATTTTATACAAATCATGTATATATATATATATATAAATATATTTGAAATTCTTCAATCATCTATACCAAATAAAGCCATGGAAGTGATCTTGGATCGATAACTTAAACTTTAAACCCTCCCTTCAGGGTAAAACTGATTTTACAGCTCGTTATATCCAAAATTTCATTTTCACTTCATTCAACTTATTCTTACCCTGTGTCCTGTAGGATGCAATAAAACCTTGCCTTGATCCGATGTTGCTAGACTGAAAAGAGATGTACATCTTGTTTCCGGATGACCTTGGGCGGACCGTGGAAAGCTCAGTCTGATTTAGCTTGCCACAAAGATTCATCAATTGTGCAGCATTTTCACTCTCACCGTCATAAATGCTCACCACATCCGAGCAGAAACTGTCACCAAACATGTCAAATGTTTTAAATCTAGAATGGAAGAGAATTTAAAAGATAATAAATTTAAACAATAGCTGAAAAATCCAGACATGTCACATTTTCAGGATTTTGAGAAAAGTGGATTTTAAAGTTTGAAAGTATCCAATATTTTCACATGTAAAAATAAAATGCTATAATTTGTTTCTATTTAATGATACCATTTTACTTTCAAAATATATAAGTTAATAAACATTTTGTGACAATTTACTATATTGCAGCTTATTACCAGGCTGACCCAAAATTGTGACTTTTCTGCTTTTTCCACTGAAAATGGAATTTTAAAAATTAAACTATACTATACTTTATGGCTTTTAAAGCCCACTACGTGTCTACTTCATCACTAAATCATCTTAAGTCTTAAGTGATCTCTTTTAATTTTTAATAATAAAACTAATTGTGGATGAAAAAAAAAATCAATTACTTTACACAAAAAACAAAATAAAAAATAAAAATCTAAAGCAGTGTTCAGTGTCACGCCACTGATATTGATATCTTGTACAGATGGTGTAAGTGTTATGAGTCAAGTGATAATATTATAAAATCATGTCACTCAATGACAAATTAAATTTATACTTTCACAATTTCATTGTCATTTACCTTAAATTATTATATTATATGTAACATATGACCCTGAACTGGTATTGAAATTGATTAAATTGGAAATAATCAGTTGACTGTAATTTGTAATAAAATAAAGTGTAGTGATTTTCATTAAAATAAAATAAAGAGATTATGGCCTGCATTTTTAATAGTTAGTCATAGTCAGTCTGTTTAACAACTTTTAATCGGGAAGGACTACTACATGCAATGCAAAAGCACAAAATTGTCAAAATGTTGTTGTAAAATATGCTAATACTGTAACAGTCTGTAACTTTCATTGCAGAAATATACTAAACTAACTATACATAATCATACATTATACTTATAATGTATATAAAAACTTTGGGTAAACAATGAATGGGGACGCCTGCCACTATTTTATCGAATTTCACGATTGTATCTCTAAATCGATCCCTATGACTATGCCTAACCTGAACCCTAAATCGATCCCTATGCCGCCTAGCCTGAAATCAATCCCTCAATCTCAACCTAACCTAAACCCTACTTCACTGCAACTATAATAAACACACAAAGACGCCGTGGCAGCCGTCCTCGGATTTAGCCAAACTTTGCTTCCTCAACCTCTTTTTCTTTCGTCCGTTTGATTTTCTCTTTAAGATAATATTAGATAACAATAGTAGTAGTAGCATTTAGTTGATTTAGTGTTTGGTGAACATTGTCGGACAGTTGACCTACATTCTCTATTTATTTACATTTTCCTTGCTTCTTATTGGTTAAGCACATCACGTGAGACTAAGGGGGGGCTACTTTAATTTTTACTTCAACATTTTTACTGGACATGTCCGATTCTTCCAAAGTCCAAAGTATGGCCAATTTAAAATCCACGATTACCCGTAAACGAGGTGATTTGTACAGTACTGTTGTATTCACTGTCAATTTAAGCTTTATTACAGGGGGATAACTCAAAAATGGAAATTTGTGACATCTGGTTTTTCAACCGAGGTCTTCAATTATCATTTAATTAGCATTATAATATAGTTTTTAATGAACGACAATCGTTTTTTTCCCATGCCTAAAAATATGTGAAATTAGGCTTTACAGTAATTTTTATAAAGACTGGAATTATCACCACAACGTTTCGTTTATATCGTCATTCCGTTGCTTTGCGTTTTTACTTGTGAAATCGCTAGATATCGCTCTAGTCTCTAGTATTAAACGATAGCAATAGTCCACCGTTAGTCAGCGTATCTTTTCGTGAGTTTTTCGTTAATTAGTTTGTTTGGACATTGGTTCCTAGAATTCTTTTTATTCTCGGCGCCCTTTTATAATTTAGGTTTTCCACCGGCGTTTTATCTCATATTCTCTCAAGTAAACTTCGAAAAAAGCGAGTACAATATGTTTTAATTAAAAGGTTGGAGGGGAAAAAATGAAAGAAATATGCAGGTCTCAAAACGCTATCTATTAAATTAATAATTAATCATTTTAGGAGTTTCTGCACACAGTAATTACTCTAGTAAGATAGGCCTACTGGTTTGCACCAGGTTGGCTTGGAGTTGTATTCAGTTACATTGTGTCGAAAGTCAAAATACAATTAAGAACATTGTTTAATATTTAGCCGTTCCCCTGAAAAGAACCTTTGGCTTCCCATGACATCTCAGTGCAGATTTTGGGTACCACTGGGCTACGCCAAACAGACAGTGGAGAAAACTGACACATTTTAAAACATGGTTAACAGAGACTTCATAACTGTCTATAAATGTCGTACATTTTAAAAGGGGAAATGGGTGAAGGCTCAGTAGTAATATAGGCCTACGATATGGGGGAGGGGGTTTGCGTGAAAAATTTGGTAGGGGGTTGATTTTTGTCATTTTGCGTACATAATATGGACCACATTTCTTTACGATAGTGTTTAAAATTTAAAAGAACAACATAGGGTATGTTACCTTAGATCAATGACGTTGTTGGCTGGTGCAACGATGGTCCAGTAACACCTGGCATTCAGTGGGTAGTTTGATGGGTAGCCGGGTGACATGAACACGCCATACGACGTAGTCAACTGTCCTCCACATTCTGGACACATACGTAAAGAAAGTTTAACAAACATTAAGCTTCAGACACCGATAAGCATGTATATTTCGCTAATTCTATCTCTCTCTCTCCTTCTATCTCTCTCTCTCTATCTCTCTCTCTTCTCTATCCCTCCCCCCCTCTTTGCAACCATAAATGCAGATTTGTGTAGGCTTATAATATGCCAGTCTCTGAATGTGTGGAAGTCTGCTATACAGGCCTTTCACCGTTAAAAAAGAAGATAACCAAATTTATTTGCTACGTAAACAAAAATAACAATTAATTAACTGGGTGTTGAAAATTAACTTTTAAAGCGAAGTAACTTTTGGCATTGGAAACATAATATAACTATAAAAATATCATGAATTATCTCCCATTTAAAGAGCAGGGCGTAACTTCCTTCCTGAATTGTTACCCTGTCTCTAGTTATTGGATACATTATTTTCACCAAAGCTACACGGAAATCGCTAATATTACAAAAAATTTAATATTAATTTTGTAATGTTCTTTTGATATGCATATTCTATAGTTATTGGCTTATTGTGATGATTTTATTCAATTACAAATGGAAAAAAAAAAGAATGAGTGGACGGTTGGCTTGTTACAAGAAATAGAGGTAATATATTTAAATTCACTTTAGAGCTTTTACTTTTTGTAGAAAGAGCTGCTCAATTACGATAAAACATTATATTAAAAATGTTACAGTTTGATTTTTTTTTTTTGTTTTTTTTTTTTTTTTGTGGTGTTTTTTCGTTCGTTTCTTATTTTTGTTAGAAGATGTTTATATTTTAGCAATGTATCTTTCTTTTAGGAAAATTAAATATTTTATAAATACAATATAAAATATTTTGAAATTTCCTCTTTGAAAAAAATGTCTTAGATATATACTATTCTCGATCATATAATTTTTTCTTTGTCCAGACACCATTAGAATTGTTTAGATCTCGCTACTGGACAAGCCATTCTCAACAGCATGCAATTTTTATTTGGCAAAGCGCAATTAACTTAAAACACAAGTAGGAATATAAAATTAAATCATACTAAGTTGATAAACGACTATTCCATAAGCTCCGGGTTACGAAGGAAATATAGATAGATGTTTAGCGTTCGACCCTTCATACTAAAGTTCGTTGGTTATCAACACGTTGTTGAGACTCACTTTAACGGAAATATTTTTAGCTGTAATAGCTTTTACAATAATTATTTACCTCCGGGGAAACAGCTTTTTATTTTTTAGAAGTATTAACTAATTTCAGTGAAATGAATTTACTGCGCAAAGAAATGGGTTCAAATTTATTAAAAGCAAATCAATCGATCATAATTTTGTTTCTAAATAAACAATGTCAAAGCGTTATATTGCCTCTTCACAAGCCTGTTGGAACTAGGGATTTGTTCGGAGCACTGGAGCAGTGTCATCTTGCATGGAGCTGGTAAAGTCTCTTACTACTCAGAGCTAAAAAAATCCTCATGAATAATCTTTAATTTTTTTTTTAAAAATGAAAAAACATTATTATTAATGTATTGTTACTTTAATTTTTTTTTTAAATTGACTATCCAATCTTCTACTAACTATGTTGCTCCACTCTTCCACAGCTATGTTGCCCAACACTTCTACCATCTATGTCCCCCCCCCATAACAGGTCTATACCAGCTATGATGCCTCCAATCGTCTACCAGCTACCCTACTCTTCTTGTTACGACCTTTGTTACCCAACATTCACAACAAACTAGTTCACAACACTTCTACAGTTATGACGATTTCCCCCACACGTTAACATCTATGTTGCCCTATACTTCTACTGCTACGGTTCCCCACTCTTCTACGCGATATGTTGGCCCTCCATTTCTACGAGATATGTTTCCCCTCCATTGTTACCAACTATATTGTACCAGTCTTCAATCAGCTATGACACCCGCGCCCCCCACTGTCTTCTACCAAATAAGTAGCTGGTACTTGCAATAATAATGTCTAGTGGCAATGATAAATATATTTCATTGAACGCTTACAACCCTCTTAAAAAAAGCTTAATCTGAGCTCGGAGCAGAGCTTGAGCTAAAAAAAATTGTACCAAGTGGAGCTCAGCCAAATAAGTCTTCTCCAAATCCCTATATTGAACTAGAAAAGAACTGGGTCTTTGCAGCCATTTGAATATGATACTTAAACTTAAATGATATGTGTCAATGATTTTAGGAATTCCCATTTTATAAAACTGATAAGGAGATACTGAGAGAATTCAGCTTCATAATGCTGATGAGCCGAAGCCCAAGTTTAAAAACACGTACTGAGTGTCTTTTGTTGCGAATTTATCGTTATAATAATAATGTCAATAGTTTTAATAAAATACAAAGAATCTCTTGTTGCATTTGCAAGATCGTATTTGCCCCAACGAGGCTTTTATTTTGGTGGCTCAACGTGTCCCGAGCAGTGGGATTTAATCTGATTCAGATTTATGAAAATTTTGAAATAATTGATTAATTAATTGTATAAATAATTTATTTATAGCATGAGGATAGGTCCTCAGTGGTATATCCCTAAAATGCAACGCCGCACTAAAAGTTAAACCTCTTTGCGCTGGTTCCAGACAGAAACACGGCGGGAACTATTGTATTTGTTAATTTTGAATTATTATAATACAGGTAGTAAAAATAACAGTTACTAGAAATTTAATGTAGTAATGGATGTAATCTCACCGGGAGCAGGCTGACTGGATACAAGGGCCACAAGCAGTGATAGGATGACGCAACTTGTCCACGACCGGACCAATACGCAGGCCATCTTCGACCTCAATCGAACCTTTTGGAGTAATCACTGAAAAATTAACAATTTCGTTTATCGTTCCTTTAAAAAGAATATTGCAACTAGCTCATAATTGAAATAATTTAGAAAGGGATATTTTGTTATACCTCTTAACATTAGCGTTGTTGCTTTATCTGTACTTAAAATTGAATTAAATTGCAACCAGTGAAGTATCCCATTAAAACCCATGAACAGTAACATCGCAAACCCCTCTAAAACATAGGAGCCAGAATGATCAATTCATTGATCGTGGGCCCTTAAAATAAAGAAGAAGACATACAAGTCTAATGTAATTTGTTGGGTTTTTTACCACCATGCAGTTACAGCCCTTTAGAGATTTTGGTTTGATTTATTTTTGAAGCGTAGTTTCTACATATTTGAAAACGAGTTCTGATCATAATACAATTGATGCTTAAAATTGAAAATGTAATAACAATGAGGGCATTTTTTTCAAGGATTCAAGGCGCACATGCCTAAAAATTGCAATGAAAGATTAAATTGCTTGTTTTGTTTAAATAGTGTTTGGAATGAAACTTTAAAATAAATGAATCGTACAACACATTCATACTAAAAACCAGATAAACCTAAAATTCGGACCATGCAAACATTTAGACAACAGTAATTTTTGATAATATAACTAACACAATTGCAAAAAAAAAAAAAAAAAACTCTACATGCGTAGGAGCCAGAATGATCAATAAATTGATCGTTTGCCCTTAAATATACAAGAAGAAGAGGACAACTTAGTATTTAAGATAGATGCATTTTATATGTTGGATACTAACCCAAAGATGGCAATGCAATTCAAGTTTGACGATATCTGAGGCAAAAAAAAAAAAAAACTTAAAGTCTGGAGCCGTTGGTCTCTAAATTTCAACCTCAACATTGCTCATATTTTATAGGGTGGACAGCACCCGGACGTCCTGGTACATGCATTTATTTTATTGGTGGAGGAAGTTGTCAAAAGTTATATATTTATTTTGCTTCTTTCACAATCAAGGTTATTCACTGATTTGTATTACCCACCCCCACCACAAAAAAAAAATTAAAAAATTACATAGCATAACCACCATCACTAAGAAGGAAGTTGTTGCACAAGGAAGTTTTATTCAATTCGAATTGATTGCATATATGCTGAAGAATATGATACTAGCTTTAAAGGTGACCTTGTGATTTAAGAGAATAAACAGAAAAAAAGGAAGTATAGATCACACATTCAATATTTGTTGGAGAATCGCTTGATGTGAGCTACGAGCTCCGCTTTGTATAGGTCTGTCAAAATTATATTTGTTGATTTAATTAACAATACTTAAGTTAGTCCGTGAGGTGGTCTATATCAGTGATGTCTAACATTATTATGTAGTACATGCTTTGGAAAAAAATAATGATCTATGGTTGAAAAATGTTTTATTGGTACCATTTATATACCAAAGAATTCCATATAAAGTTGAAATCCAACTTGAAATGTATTCAAATTATTATTTTTTTAAAATTTTAAACTTTAGTAATTCTTGTTCATTTTTAAAAAAAAATCTAATTTCTTCTTGACCTTATGAGATTTTTTTAAAAATGAAAAAGAATTACTAAAGTTTGGGCTGTGTAAAAAATAATAATTAAGCACCCACAAATCGTTGAACAAATTTTCCTTTGTAAATCTACAAATGTTATAATATATTATTTAATATAATACATTTTAAAAGTTTATTTGTTAATCTCCTTGCATACCGGGTAGCTTGCATTTAGTTACAACGAGTGTGTAAACAAATTAATAGAGCGTAGCCAAGTAAGAGGAGTCGCGAAGCCTGTGCTGAGCTTGTGGCGTTGCCCAAATACCGGGCCTTTTGAATTCGGCTTGCTTCCTCTAGTGTTAAAAACATGGCTACGCAACTGCTCTAGGTCATGCCTTTCTCTGGCTTCACGTTTGAAAATTGCATAGACCTTATCGTGTATGTAGGGAAAATGAAATGCAGGCGCAAACTTTGACATATCTACTAAAGGCCATTTTATTCGTGCGCAATCCAATGAACGAGGACTCGTTTTCGTTGGCGTCTGAATCATGCCCTCTGTCTGATTTCCATTGAAATGAATTGCACACGCAAAGGTCATAACATTGAATTCAGCAGCCATTCAGGAGAGAAGGCGGACGTTTCTTCGACGTGATCCGACTCTCCTATGACATAATTCATTTGAAAAATTAATAAAGCAAGCTCTTTGTTGTTTCATTTAAAGAAATGAAAATGCGCAGCTATTTTAAACTTTTCGAGCTACTCAAGTTTCATTTTTGGCGACTTAAGCTAAATACGTACAGTTGCCTACTGCATAAAAAGACATATTGTTACATGCGATCTCAGTGGCGTAGCTAGGGTTGGTGTCACCCGGTGCGGTAACTCATGGTGCCCCCCCCACAAAAAATATAATTCAATTATGCATTTCTTATTGTTAAAATAAGTCCACAGTATAACAATGACAATAACAAAAAGACATAAATCGAAGGTTATGAGGTCAATGTATTTAAAAGCTGTAACAGCGTTAATTTATAGTTAGTTTTACATTAAATTTACTTTATTTAAAATGTTCCTTTCTTTGTCTTCAAAGCTGCAAACCTGTCAATCACTTGATCAAAATCAATATCCTTCACTATATCATTTTTACATGATAGTGGAGCCAGATTTTAAATTATTGACTGACCCATGGTGGGTCCTATATAAATCTTGATAAGCCTTAGTTTTGAAAAGCCCCCCCCCCCCCACATGATGCCACACCACAGACACACACATATCGTAAGAAAACAATAAAGGCTTAGCGAGAGTATTTGGCGATATTCTCGGAAATCTCATTTAGCTATGAATTTCAAAACATCAAATACTGACCTGTCCATGACTTTGCGAAATTCAATATCAGCTGCCTTTAGATTTCTTCTAAGGCTTGTATTTCTTATAAAAGTTAATCTTTTGATAACTCACCAGAGAAAGAAGTTAATTTTGGAACGGACACCAATAACTCTTCTTCACTTGCTGATACTAGACTTTTGGGTTGAACAGCCCAAAACATATCTGCTACATCCTTGATCGCTGATGAACATCTCGGTAATGTTTTCTTCTTGCAGATAGTCCAGCATCTATTAATTGTTCCCCTGCAATTCTCTTATTAAAACTTAATCTTCTCTCTACGGAAATTCCATATTGCTTTGATTTTAAAAATGCCTTTTTAATAGCATGTTCCACCACGTGACGGTGCATCTCGTCCAGAAACAATCGTAAGTCCTCTAGGTTTGTCACCACTTTGTCAAGAGTAAAGCCTTTAGTCTGCAGATACTGCTGTGTAAGATTAATTTCCACAAGTAGATTAGCCCAAAGTTAAAAGGTAGCCGATAAACTTGAAATCACAGACAGCATGTAAAAGACCTTGTGCTGTAACTCTTGTATCCACATTTTCAAGATGATTACACAGAGCTTCAATCACCGCCACACATTCATCAAACCAATCGTTCACTGTTTTAACAGCAGCATGATGAGCACTCCAACGCGTTGTTGACATTTTTTTCAACGACATTCCGGTGTGTTCAGTCAGAACATTCCATCGATGATTGGATGCAGCAAAGAAGGAAAATATTCTTTCAACAGTACCGAAAAATGTAATGAAGCATTTTCTGCAAAAAAAGTGTTGACCACACAAGTTAAGTGAATGGGTCACACATCCATTAAAATTGCTTTCTTGTTATTTCTTTTCATAATAGTCTGAACACCTCCATGGATTCCAGACATTGTGGCAGCATTATCGTAACCCTGAGCTCTGAACATCATTATGTCTAGTCCATCACGTTCTAGATTTGTAAGAATATCAGAACTGAGGTCATCAGCTTTTCCCCTCTTAACAGGAAAAAACTAAGAAACGCTTCTCTCACTTCAACTTTCCCACTGTGAATTTTCACATCTAATCACTTCAGACATCTGGTCAATGTGTGATACATCTGATGTACTCTCGAGCATAATTCCAAAATACCTCGCATTCTTTATATCCATGTTAAGAATCTCCTTCACATGATTTGCAAGGACATTTATAAATTATTTTGGGTTTCTGATGAAAGGTAAGATGCGGATGCTTTTTCTGTAGATGTACTCCTTGAGATGCTCTTTTAGCAATGGTTCATACTCAACCACTTCAAGAAAGTTTTTCTTTATTCAGTGAATATTCATCTTTGTTGTGGTCACGAAATGCCAGATTTTGCTTTGCCAGAAACAATGTTGTATCTAGCAACCTGTGCAGGATATCCCTACACTTTTCTTCTCCCTTTTCATCACATCAATACTTTCGGCATCGATTGTCTTGTGTATCCTAAGTCCTGCTGCCAATGCTTTCCTCTTTTCAAGGCAACATAGGTGCTCTTCCGATGCATCAGGATTTTGTAATTTTGGACTCAGCTGCCACCACTTATCAAAGCCAGTAACATATGTGGATGTTGTTTCTGTAACATTAACAGCAAGCAATCTGCGGCAAAAACATTATAATTTCTGATTGACGAGTGAATATCCACGACCTCAGTATTTTATGGCCATTTTGCATCATCCCGTAGATCCATTGTTTTGTTAGTTGGTGCACACCTCCTTTAGATTTCGAGTCTTGCTTCGTCACAATGCTGAATAGTCCGTCCTTGTTCTGAAACGAGGTACTCCATATTTGAATAATTTCAGACCCAAAAATAATCTGAAACTGATACATACCAGAGAGAAGCATCTGATCAAATGTGCCCGTTTTGTCATTAACCATTACACTTACATTATCTTGGTTTGAATCAATATTGGCAGCAGTCATTTCTGTTTCCAAACCCTTCATGTCTTTATTTGTGTTTTCACGTCAATCCCATTTTCCCCACAATTTGCTAGAAAGAATGGATGCTACTGGTAGCGGGAGAATCAGTATCAATGGTAGGCTGAGGCAAGTCTTTTGATGAGCCCTGACCCTGGTCATCATTGGGGTTCTTGTTATCGAAGCATGTATTAAGGTAGAAATTTTTGTGAGTCACGTATTTACTTTTTTGCTTTTCACAGCTGACTGTCACTTGGCCGTTTAGATTTGTGCACGCCATGTGACACGATATAATAATCTTGAATGAATTGGGGAAAATATTAATTTTTGAGCATTTTTCTGGGTTTCGATTTATAATATTATATACGTCTTCAAAAAAATTTCATTTTTTAAATGGGAATAAATAAGATTTTGTCATTAAAAGATTGAACATTTTGTAAAATAATATATTTTTTTAACCCTATAAATGGGTAAAAATTTATTTTTAATATTTTTTTTATTGTTACCGATTCTTATACTTAGAATCACCCGACCAGATCGTATTTGGTATCAATGGAAAGCCTTATTTTTCAGGATTTAGATAAATATAGATTTATGTCACTTACGAAAGTTACCGAACACTTCAATCGGCGTGGCATAATTACTGTGTTTTTCAAACCTAAACGTAGGGTCATCTCATTTATGACGCATCAACCTTGAACTTTTAATAAAGCACGCATTTGGATTGGTTACATTTGTGGAAAATGTATATTATGTGATTGGTTATTCTTTTATGAATCTCGGTTAGACCGAGCAGTGTTTGCTCTGTAAATATGGAATTTTTCAGTTGGGTGTCA